TTTTTTTTTTTTTTTTTTTTTGTACCAGGGATCCAACTCGGGACCTTGCGCTTGCAAGACAGGTGGCAGAACCACTGAGCTAAATCCAGGCCCCAAAAAAGAACTTTTAAAGAAGTTTTAGTATATGAATACCTTAATCTTTACACCAACACAGAAAGCACAATCTTAAATACATTTTGGTGGAAGAAAGGCCCTCAGAAGTCACAGAGCACTGTGCCCCAGGTCAGGGTCACCCACCCATTTGAGCTCTTGGCCACTCCCAAGGGAGCCAGACCTTCCCTCAGGGGACAGCTCCACCCAGGGCCACAAACCCTGCCCTCACAGGGCCCTGGGCCCCGGAGTTCATACTGTCCTATCTCAACTACCTTCAAATGCCTCAAATTTGGCATTTTTGATGCAAACATTCTGTCCCTGGAACTTGTTTGGGGCTTGATGCACATGCGAGCCCAGCAGTGCTTATCCTTTTGCATGGTCCTGGTGGTGTGTGCTTCAGCGGGGCATTTCCCTGCAGACTGCGTGGTAGAAACCAGTGAGGGGTGCCTGGGCTCTTGGGGTGACAGTGTCCCAGGAGAGGGAGGTGGCACTGAGCTGGGTCCTGCAGGGCAGTTAGGTCTCAGCCAGGAAAGCATCTGCAAAGTCCCAAGTGCACAAAAGGGGTCCCAGGTCAAGAAGGGCAGGTAGTACTGGCTGGCTCAGGTGGGGTGCAGGGACCTGGGGTCAGAAAATGCACCTTCCCAGAACCTGTAGACTTCAGACCTCCCCCTAGTCATGGAAGCAAGTCGCCTTCTGGGCTCAATCCGAGGCTTGGGACCTCCTGCCAGAGGCAACAACACTCCCTGCACTGACTCGTCTCACCTGCCAGACCTGCCCGACCTGCCCAGCCCCTTCCTTCCGATAAAGCCTTGTGCTGGCTCCCTCAGGCCTCCCAGCCCCACTGCCTGTCACCTGCAGGGTCCCACCTCCCACCTGGGTCTGGGCCTTTGTCACCTCCCCTCTTTACCCAGATGACTCTTGCTTTCCCTCCAGACCATCTTCTGGGAGCCCTCTCTCCCTGTCGGCAGCTCCTCCGGGACAGGGCCACTGTTCCTGCTGTGTAGGAAAGGGCTTGGTGCCCTCCTAAACCGCCAGTCCCAATGGGCGAGTCAGGCAAGGTGACAAAACCCCAGGACATCTTCAGCCATCAGAGGGACTCAGTATGAGCCTTCCTCCCCAAGCTGGGGAGAGCAGGAAGGCTCTAGCAGGTTCAACTGGCATTGAGGGATGGAAAATCAGGAGGAAACTTTTTTTGCAACAGAGTCTCACTATGTAGCCCAGCCTGGCCTCCAACTCAAGACAGTCCTCCTGCCTCAGCCTCCTGAGTACTGGGGTTACAGAGGCAGCTTTGTTTTTGTTTTTAACATCTCCTTTTGGAGTCAAGGGATTCATGGTCTCATCCAAGGTCACCCAGAGTTAGACCTTGTGGTGGCATTGTCAGGACAGGTCACAGGGTGGAGCACAGCAGGAGGCAGGATTCAAAGTTGGAGGCCAGCCTGAGTAACTTACTGAGACTCTGTCTCAAAATAAAAATTAAAAAAGGTCTGGAGGATACAGCTCTGCTCCAGTACCAGAAAACAAAAACACTGGGATATGGATTTGACTATTAAATCTATTTAAGGCTGGGTGTGGTGGTGCACACCTGTAATCCCAGCACTCAGGAGGCTGAGGCAGGAGGAGGATCGCTGTGAGTTCCAGGCCAGACTGGGCTACATAATGAGTTCCAGGTCAGTATCAACTACATAGTGAGACCCTGTCTCAAACAAAACAAAACAAACAAAAAAAATCTATTTAATACATGAAAGGCCAGGTGTGGTGGCACACACCTATAATCCCAGCACTCTAGGAGGCTGAGGCAGGATTACTGCAAGTTTGAGGCCAGCCTGGAGTACACAGGGAGACCTTGTCTCAAAGTGAATGAATAAACCATGAAGCATTTCATTTCTTACCAACTCGGGTGTCTGAGGTGGGGCAGTTTCTACTCTGGGTAATTCCTCCATTTGTCCATGCCATTCACCTGACATTTCCTAAACATTGCCCGAGGCTGGTTCTGGGCCATGGGTGAGTGAAGGCGGCCAGAGAGCTGGCAAATGCTTTGTACACAGCACGGCCAGGAGGGAAGAGCTGCCGCCACAGAAGGCTCTTCAGCTTGCTACCATCTGGACACAGGATGGCTGCTAAAGTGACAAGCCAGAGGCTTCCTCACAGTGTGCCCTGAGGCCCTTCTGTCACCTAGGAACAGGGTGGGAGAAGGCGGGAGTGGACAACTGGGCTGTAGTCAGGGCCTCCAAGCCCGGGGGTCTCCACAGGCAGGGCCGCAGCCCATGAAGCGGTATGAATATGGAGCAGTGCTGGCTGCCAGTCTGTCCTCCACCAGACCGCCAAGGCTCACGGAAATGTCAAGTGCCTGTCTGCTTCGAGCTGGCGTCACCTTTCGTGGGAGCAAAGCGCATGCTCAGGCTGAGATCACCGGATCAGCAGGAATCTGCATTCTTGGTCTCCAAATAGGGGGCCCAGAAGGAAAAGTCGTGAGATGCTCTTGACTGAGAAAGTTTTGGGAGCCTAGCCAGAGGCCTCCATCTGGGCTTTGGCTGAGAAGAGGCGAGAATCACACCCACTGCCTTGTCTGGGTTCCTAGATAAAACTGAAGGTGGCACTGGCCTGGCAACTGCTGTACGCCAGAGCCAGGGCTGCACCTCAGCCAGATGACTTCTGAGCGTGTGCATGGACGTGTGCGTGGCAGTGGATCTCAACCCTAACTCCTGTAAGCTGTCCTCATCCCCAGCTCCCACAGCAGGAAGGGGAGATCTGACCTCTCACACCTCTGATGACAAGACTGACCAGGACAGCAGCACCATTTTATAGATGAAAAACTCAAGGCTCAGCCCATGGTCACATGACAATTTCTCCTTACCGGGCATGTGAGGGACCCCAGCAGGCCCAGCACTTGGGGCTGGACCATATGCAGTAAGGGGGCAAACAAGTCCCTGCAGGAGATGAGCAGGCTCCTCCAGGTGGTGACATCTGTGCTGAGACCTGAGTGATGAGAAACTAGCACTCAAGAGCAGAACTGTGCTTCAGCATCAGGCAGCCAGAGCCCAGCAGAGGGTCCTGCCATCAGGGACCAGCTGTGTCTCATCAATGAGGGCCTTGACTGCTCTACAGCCTGGTGAGGGTCAGGCCAGAACCCAGACCAGGCCTGGAGGCCAAGTAAAGCCTGTGACAACCCAAAGGCACTACGGAGTCTGCTGCTCCCAGCCTCCTTGCCACACACAGAGGCTCTGAGGGCCTGGCTTCATCTAGTCTGATCTGGACCAGGGGCTCAGGCAAGCCTGGAACTGGGTTCTGAGAGGGGACAGGATGTCTTCAAGGGACAAGAAGGCAGGGGCTAGGTGGGCTTCTCTGGCTGCTTGATCCAGGACCAGGGAACTGAGCACTTTTCCCACCCGGGTGGAGGCCAAAGGCTGGTGAGAACTCGTGGCCAATGTGAGCCATCTGCCCCGTGTGCCGGACACCAGGGGCTTGGGGGCAGTGACCCAGCTGTGGCAGTTTGCCTGGCTGTCTTTGGTCACTTTCTGTGTCTTGACTCACGACCCAAGTCTTCAAAGGCTATCTCTTCTCCACCAAAAGGAACCCAGAGGCTGAAATGGTGACCTTCCACTTGCTCCCAGGACAGGCTCACACAGAACTGAGTGATACTAAGGCCAAAGACAGGGGCACAAACCCAACAGGGCAGGTGCCCACCAAGGGCCTAGAGGTTGGATGGTGGCCATCCGAGACCATGCCTGAACCAGAACGGTGTGTGCTCTAGTGGGGTGGCTGGGTGATACCATGGTTCCAGGAGGGTTTAGGGGCTGTGGTGATCATCTGGACACTTGAGGGCAGGGCTGGGTAACTGGAAAGGGGACAGATCCTGAGAGGAAGTGTGGCAGATAGAGCCCTCTGCTGAGAGCCTCTACCCAGCATAAGGGACCCTCTGAGCACACCAGACAGAGCCTGGCTCTGGTCCTGAGGAGACTGCTTTGGTCTGATGTGATGTTCCTAGCAGGGTAAGCCCCAGAAAGGGCAGTACCATGGATGGGTATTTATAGAACATCCTTCTCTCCAATCCAGCTAAATAAAGCAAACCAGCCAGTTAGGGTGAGGGGACCTGAGCCCTGGACGGTCATGGTACCTACCACCCACATGCTCAGGAAGCACGGGGGCAGCATGACAGTCTGCCACCGCCCACAGGCAGAGGACCTGACCCTGTGAGCATGAGGGCCACAGCAGGATGCAGAGGGTACAGGGTTCCTGAGCTGCCCCTTGGGAGGTAAGGGTGGCTGCAGGGACACTGGGAGGAGCCACCTACCAGCTTTATTCTTCAACCTCCTGAACAGAGCAGGAGGTGGCCCCCTCCCAGGACACACTGGTTACGAGACAGATACTATTAAATTACAAGGTGTAACACCACCACATATGACATTACTGCATTAAAAACCCGATTCTATTTTAGAAACCAAACAGCATTGGAGCCATTCCTGGGAGAGAATCCCCGGTTCTTGTGCCGTGGCTGTGGGACAGGGGGGCTTCACAGTGGAGGGCAGCTGGGGCCCGGTGCAGGATCTGCTTTCCCATCGTTCATGCTGTGACCTTGTCAGGAAACAGCCTCTCCCTGGAGCCACGCTAGGCCTGGCTCTGCGGCAGGGGAAGGGGATTCTGAGACCATGGGTCGAGCAGGGGCCTCTGACCCTGCAGAGAAGAGGCACACAGGATGCCTAATGGAGGCTGGTCCCTGGCCCACTGCAGCTAGACAGACTGGGGCAAGGAGGCTGGGGCGGGAGTGGCAGAAGCCCGCAGTCACCAGTACTGACAAAAGGCCATGGGTTTGAGCTCTGGCTGGAGACTCTTGCCAACATGGCAAGACCCAAGCAAGGAGCAAGTTTCCTGGGTCTGCTTCTTCCTCTGAAAATGGGAAGAGCAAAACTGTCAGCAGCCCCGACGGCCCCTCCACACTGAGAGCAGAGGATGTATGAAATGTCCACTCAGGGCCTGGCCAGCCCAATCCTCACCTCTGTGTTTGTTAACATGATTTTCCCAAAAGCCCTTGGCCTTCCAGGGCAGCCTTGCTCCTAAAGCCTCTTTCCTCTTTCGGCTGAGCACCCACCTGTCTGACCAGCACTGACTGCCACCTGGAGCCGGGACAGGACCAAATTGGTGCAAAAGCCTTGCACTGTGCCACTCCCAATGTGGCCTACCCAGCACCAACCGGGAAGCAAGACAGGAGCTGGTGAGCCAGCCCTGGGCCTCCCATTCCCCAGCAGACCCTGGCAAAAGCAGCCCCTGTGGCAGATCGGTCACACGGACTTCTCAGACCAGTTCTAGGACCAGTGCTTCTCAGGACAGTTGTGCTGTCCTTTTCACCTGACCTTTTCCCCTGTGGCCATCTCAGAGACCATCTCACTCCCTGGCCTCCTGGACACCGTGACTAAACCAGGGACGGGTACAGGCCCCACCCTGGGTTCTACTGTGAAGCCAGGATCGTGGGACAGAGAGGCTGGAAAGGAAACTGCCATCCGGAGGTGAGGTGTTACAGGCCATTTCAGGGGAGGTGGCAGCAGGCAGGGGCAGCCTAGAGAGAGCAGTGTCTATCGGGCCTGTGCCACTTGGGTCCCCAGGTTGGCCTCTTCCACTCCGCTGCACACGGCTGACAGGCCAACCGGGCTTCCACACGTGGACCCTGACCTGAGGAGTGATGAGGGTCCTGCCCGAGGCCATCAGGGATGGCCTTCCCTCCTGCGCAGTGGCCAGGTATGGATAACAGGCCCACTGGCTCCATGGCGCAGGCAGAGGTCAGGGAAGTGAGCCCATCCTGCCCCGGCACTGGGCCTGCCCCTGCACAAGGTCCCACTTGGGCTGCGCTCCCTCCCCGCAGCTACGGAGCTGTCATCACACTCTGCTCGCCGTGGTCCACGCTCCAGAGGCGGTAGAACTCTGCGAAGTCCACGTAGGGATCGACTCGGCCATCCTCACCGGGTGGGAGGGAGTGGGCCGGCCGGGCACGGAAGAGGCCCCCATCTGAGCTGGAGCTGCTGCTCTGCGTGTGCGTGTTGGTGGACTGCAGGGTCAGCGTGGGGCTCTGGCTGTGGGCAGAGGGAGGCGTCAGGGCAGTGGGTCAAGCAGCCTCGGCTTCTAGCCCAGGGACACAGCAGCTCCTGCCTCTGCCAGGTCCTTGGGTCACAGGCCTCTCTGGGAAAGGTGACCTAAAGTCAGCTGGGCCAGATGTTCTTAGGGATGGATAAAATGTCAAAAGTAATTTCTGAAGCACTAGCTACACACAGCTGTTTCAAATGCCAAACATTACGAAGAACATTTGGTTCTAATGCTGAATGGCCATCCGTGGTGACTACCACATGGGACAGGGCATACCCAGGACATCCACCCTGTCAGGAAGTCCTGGGAGGCAGCACAAAGCACAGAGCACGCACCAGGCTCCCCTAAGCCAAACACTGGTCACAGGCAGGAAAGGTCGATTCCTCCAGAAACCTCCCTTTGCCCTTCCCTAGCCCCTATCACTGGCCAGGGGGGACAAATGTGCTGAGTCCTCAGAGACCGCTGGACACCTACACCCTGCACACAGCCTCGGCCTTCCCCTCATCCACTCCAGTACCAGTGCAGCAACTGCCTGGGCGGGGGAGGGGGCTAAGAGTCAAGCAAAGGATGCTGGCTGTTTGCCCCAGCCTGGACTACACAGGTCACATTCTGCTTTGTGGACACAGCTGGCGGCCTCCTGGGGCAGCCGGCAGGGGTGAGGAGAGGCCACCCCGTCTGCGCAAGGACTATACTTTAGGCATCCGGGGCCTCAGCAGCTGGGCAGTCCCTTCCGCCCAGTGTGGTGGCTGCAGCAGCCACACAAGTACCCAGCAGGGGAAGGAAGGCCCCTGGCTGTTCCCTCCCTACCAGCCCTTCTAATTGGCCACATCCTGCTTGCTCTGCCCTGAGAGGGGCTGGGTGTGGCATCTCTATTATTCTGCACGGGCTGGAATGTGGAAACCAGATCCTGGGCTTTGGTGGGGTGGAGGTGGGATATGCATTCCACACGAGTGTGGGGGGTGACACCGACCTGTCACGCAGGTCTGCGCCGGAGGTCTCCTGACCCACCCAGGCAGTGACTCGATTCCCCCCGCCCCACTGCCCTCAACTAGAAAAATCATTTTGGAGCTGCAAATGGACATTGCATCTAGAGAGCAAAGGCTCTGATGAACCAGTACAGCCCGGTGATGTCCCCAAAATGGATAACTTGGAGGGGCCATCCTTCACTACACTGAGGGTGACAAAGGGAATAAAGAGAGAGAACAAGAGGACCTTCCCACTGGATGAAAGCTGGACCCATGAGAAAACAGACTGCTGGGCTGCTGCCAGCAGCTGTCCTGTCCCCCAAACACTGTGCCCCTGAAACCTTTATCCCACCCCAGGTCCAACTGCAATGAGCTGCTGAGACCAACCCCTTGCTGGCCCTGTTTCCAGGGAGACCACCCTCGGCCAGGGATGAGGCGGAGTTTGAGAGGTCTAAGAACCAAGGGTCTCTCACCCAGTATCACCAAGCCCAGCACCCTGGGGTGTCCCTAGCCCAAAAGGACTTACTTGGTGAGTGTGGGGGTGGCTTCGTCCAGGGTGGAAGCACTGTGGGCACCATTGACCATCTGGCCCTGGGAAGGCATGACGAGGGAGAGGGTCACGCTGGTCTTGCTGGTGCTCTGGGTGCTTGAGTAGGGCACAGACACAGGGTACACACGGCCCCCGGCAGCTGGCAGGGAAGAGGGTGTGGGGTGTGAGGTGCGAGGTAGGGAGGAAGGAAAAGACCAAGGTGGAGGCAGGGCTGCTCCAGGGTCTGACAGAGTGTCTGAGAGGCTCCCCAGGGCGTGTGGCCCTGGTCCGGGGGACAGCCCAGCACTGTCCCTGGGCAGAGTCTTCCACCCTGCTGGGACCACCCTTCGGTAGCGAAGTCCACTAGTGCTCAGGACAAGAACAGAATCGAGCGCTGGAGCTGCCACAATGAAAGGGTTACAGCTTGGCTTCCCACGGCCACCTTCATCCAGAGGTCAGCCTGCCCCTCGCTGAGGCTGACCCAATAAAAATATGGTTGTAATAACAATGAGCCGGACAAATCCTGGCAACTCTGGCGTCCATGGGAGAACACGCCTATCTGCAATGCTCACTCCAAGGTTTGCTTGTTTAAAGAAGAAAAGGAAATGCAGCTCTCAGGAACTGAGGGTTTAGCATTAAGCCATGTGGAGAGGGAGCACTGCAAAGGATGACTGATCACTGATCACCGTTGCTCCCAGGTAACTGATTTAAGGATGAAAAAGAAAGCCAATGAGGTGGTGGATGCCTGTGTACTCTGGGAGGCTGAGGCAGGAGGACTGCAAGTTTGAGGCCAGTAAGGCTCCACTTAGTGACTTAGTAAGCTCCTGTTTCAAAATTTAAAAAAGGCTCAAGGGGAAAAAATGAGAACCAAGACCTGGCATGTAAAATTTTAAAAAGGCTGTTGGTCTAGGGATTTAGCTAATGGTTCCTCCTCCTGCTTCGCAGGAGCAAGGACCCAAGTCAATCCCCAGTACCAAAAGGCTGTGAATGTAGCTCAATACAAAGGTAGGCTCTAGGTTCAACCAGCCAGGGGTTACCATATGTGTCAGGCTCTATGGCTACACCCCGCTTGTTTGTGTATCAGGAGGTGGTCCAGGGCAAGTGGTTCTGTCCTTATATTTCAGACAAAAGGAATAAAAACAGCACACAGCACAGGAAGGCCAGAAGCCAGAGCCTGGGTGAAAGGAACTGGAAGTCAGGCCTCCTCCAGGCAGAGAGGCCATGGCCCCAGACTTACTCTTGGGCACTGCCTCTGCAGGGCGCTCGTACCTGGGGCTGGGCTGTGCGTGGGCTGGCTCATCTCCCCCAGTGGGTAGCCGAAGTTCCGCACCAGCAGGGTCATGTCCTCGTGCCGTAGGCAGAATTTGGCCCGCTCTCCGCCACTGGCAAAGGTGTCGCTATGGATGCGCTTTACCCGGTCCACCACGGCCTGGGCCACCGCATCCATGGAGGTCTGCTTGGCAAACTCAGTGTCAATCATCGCAGCGATCTCCTAGGGGAACAGCAGAACCTAGTGAGGAATGAGGGGTGGCCTAGTGACGGGGCCTTAACTCCAGAGCCCTGTAGAGAACTTAGGGGTCATTGGCCCAGCCGGTGAAGGAAGTTCCTGCCAGCCAAATTGCAACCTGAGTTTTTCAAGATATTCAGGCTAATCCTTCAGGAACTTTCTCATCAAAAAGGTGTGTAACCTTGTGCTCTCCCTGATTGTTGGCTCAGACAACTCTGAATGGATAATATCCACCACAATGGATTAGCACAAAGATTGTGTAACACATGGGTGGACTAAGAACCCGGGATAAACTGTTTTTAGTAAGCATTCTTTCCTGAAACAAACTTACTATAGGCTACAATATGCCAGGAATTTTGTCAAGAGTTGGGTAGACAAAATGAAGGCAGCATCCCTTCCCTCAGAGAAGTCACCTGCCCAATATATTCTAAAACCTACTAGAAGCCACTGAATAATTCTTTTGTGAAGACCAAAGAGGAAAGAAAGAAAATCATTACGAGTAAAAGATCAAAAGCACAAACAGGACCGGGTGTGGTGGCACACACCTATAACCCCAGCACTCAGGAGGCTGAGGCAGGAGGATCGCTGTGAGTTTGAGACCAACCTGGTCTACACAGTGAGTTCCAGGGCAGTGTGAACTACATAGTGAGACCCTGTCTCAAAAAACAAAAAAAGCACAAACAATGTCCCCTTTGTGAGGGCTGACCACAGGCTCTTGGAGGCACAAAGGCAGGGGGAAAGGACCTATTCCTGTTCTATGGGCTCTGCTCCATCACTAACCAGTCACGACACCTTAGCAAAGGCCCTGAACTCTGGTGCCCATGTCTTCACTTCAGGTGGAAGTAAGCATTGCCCCTCTAAGCTGAAGGCTGAACTCTGGGGCCCCTCCACACCACAGGCTGCTGGGATGGGTGAAAACCCTGAACATACATAAGGCACACCTTAGCGACCCAGCAGCCCAAGGTCAGGTGGAGGTAGCTTCCCTTCCAAATCTAAGTGACTGCCTTAGAGTCATGCTGGGTGACACCTGCACTGTGTATTCCATGGTGTGGAAGAAACAAGCTGCTCCTACTGGCTGAGGACCTGGCTGTGCCATACCTGACCCCAGTCCCTGAAGGGGAAATGTCACCATCTTTGCTACAGGGGTGATGGTCAGCACAGGGATGTGAAAGCCCTGCGAGGAAGCAGGGGCCCAAGACCACCCCTCAGCAGCACTCTGTGCAGCAGGCCACTGTCCTTTCTGGACTCTCTGCCTTGGCCCAGGCCTTCTGTGTGGTCCCAGAGCAAGGCCGTGCTGGTGGACATTCACTTCCCTGGCACCCTCTTCCCTCTAGGCCTCACCCAGGCCTTGGCACCAACACCGCTGCACACCCAGAATAAATACAGCTTTTGGGATGGAAGTTCCGGAAGCTGTGGCTTTCCACTGCTCCAGCGTTGAACCCAGAGATGTCTGGTGACAGACAGAATGAGAGCTCCGGGTTGCCAGGGATGCATCTCAACCTGGAGGCAGTGTGCTCTGCAGTCCCCTACTCTGCCCACCTGACTCACCTGGTTGGCCTGCCCCGGCCCATGGGCGGCCTCCAGAGCCTTGTACAGCCCCTCGGACATCAGCACCAAGAAGCCGGTCACCCCATCCAGAGGCTGTGAACCATGAATTTCCGGCTCCGCAATAATCGGCTTGGACTTGGCAGCACTGGGAAGACAGTGGAAGGAGGGCTTTAGGCAAAAAGGCATCCAGGTGGACAGATTCTCCTGAGGGGAATGATCTACACCAGAATATAGAATAAAACGCATGACTTTGTAAGAGGAAAGGAAATAGAGGAAAGAGAAAACCATACAGCCCTGCCTTCTTAGGACAGCTGCTAAAAATGAAGCTGGGGGTAGGGGATGTTGGAGACCAAGGGTCAGAATAGCAAAGGTCAAGTTTGATTCTGGCCCTGCTGTGTCTCCTGCCCACAGAGCTGGGGCCATGGCAGGGTGGAAGAGCAAGAGGAAGGTTATCTTTTAGACTTCAACTCCTCTGCTGTCATTGGGCTCCACCCAAACCGGGATCCACACCAAGGCCCCAGGACACTGCACAGGGGCCATGCGCTGATGTGCATCAGTCATTACCCACCGGAACCAAAGTGGCTGTTAGCAAGATAAAAGCAGGTGTGCAGCCACAGGCAGCTTTGTGCAGAGAGGCACCTGTAAACACAGCTCTAAACTCACCTAGCTGTACACATTAAACACGCACAGCTTTGTACAACAGTCAGACCTCAAAAAAGGGGCTGAGCCAGGCGTGGTAGGGCACGCCTGTAATCCCAGCATTTGGGAGGCTGAGGCAGGAGGATCCTATGAGTTCGAGACCAGCCTGGGCTACATAGTGAGTTGCAGGTCAGTCTCAACTACATAGTGAGACCCTGTCTCAAAAAAACAAAAAAATGGGGGGCGGTGCTGAGAAAGAGGAGTAAGGAGCAGAAAATGGTGGAGGGATGTCCACACTTGTGCTGCTTTAAAAGGGATGCCAGCTCCTTGGCCCCCAGGAAACACACACACACACACACACACACAAATTGGGAGCAGAGTGCATAAGAAACTAGCAGAATGGGGCAAGGGGCTCCTGATCAGGGGAGTGGACTTATTTTCACTGCACATACCCTGGGCCCTGTTTGAAAACCACACATTTTTTCCAACAAAACAAGTGGAATCAGGGGTAGAGGTTCCATGTTCGACTGCCTAATCTTGGGTGGGTCAGGAGTTACCTGCTGACAAGGTCACCAGCATGATTCCCGCAGCTCTAACTGTGATGTTAAGTGTGACCAGCCTCACACAAGTGCACATGTGTATTTCCCCAGCCAATGCATCCCACACAGGTCAGCCAGCTGCTAAGGACACCACTGCCTTGGTCCATCTCTCACCTGACTGCTGGGCAGGCTACCTGCTGTCTCTGAGCCTCAGTTTCCTCTTATGAACATGCCTGTCCCCACCTTATGAGGCCTGAGTGAGGAGTGAATAAAAGACAGTGTGAACAGTGGCAGGGCTGGGCCAATACAGGCTCACCACAACTATGATAGCTCATCTCACTGCCTTAAGCACTTGGGGGACACGCAGATGGGAAGTGTTCTCAGAGGGAAGTGGGCAATTCCATCTCACACCTCTGCCCTGGCCTGGGATCGAGGCAGCTGCCACCAGCAGGCCCCGTCCATGCCAGGCACCTCATGTGTGTCAGCCTAGCTCCAACAACCCCAACTCCTGCCTGCTAGCCCCAGCTCCTCTCTGAGAAGAAAGCTCTGAACTATTTGGTCTCTGAACTGCTTCAACTGCACCATCACCAGAGCCTAAAGTCTGCTCCTGCCCAAGGCGCCCTGTGGCAGCTGTGCTGGCCACCTACCTGAGCAGGTCAATGTCAGTGTAGCCGTATTTGACCTTGTAGTCTCCGATGCGTCTAGTGCTTTCCTGCCCACAGATGATTCCCACCTGCTTGATTTTTCCTGTGTCCAAACCTGCCAGAGGGAGAAGAATGCAATAACAGCCCAACCCGTGTTTATGAAGAAAAAGGAGGGGATAGACAAATCTACAACAAGCAAGGAGAATCCACTAGACAGGATACAGAGACAAGAGCAGGGTGCCAGGGAGCAGCTCACCCCACATCTCCCAGCGTCCTCAGTCTCTGTCCCCATGAGAGACCCCAGCACTCCAGTACCACCCTGCACGCCAGACAACCCCACACAGAGCAGCACGCTCACCGCCTCTGCCTGTGTCTGTCTGCCTCACATCGGCTTCCACACCCGGGAAAGGAGAGAGCAGCCACGGTGGTGCTGGAATCTCAGGCCTCTCTCAGTCTCCATCAGTAACAGCAAGTACCTACCACGTGCTGGGTACTCCAAGAAGCACTGGGCACGTATTAACTCTTTTAATCCTTACAACACGCCAAGGTAGGGGTTGCTGTTATCCTCATTACACAGATGTGGAAACTGAGGCACAGAGTAAGTTCTAAAGTCACCCACTAGTGAGTGGCTGGTCCCAGACCCAGCCTCGCAGCCCCTCCACTACATGCCATCTCTGTCCCGGCCACCAAAGAATGGCACGGGGGGAGCTCAGGGTCAGGATCTGCACCCCAACTGACCCTTTGTCCTGGCTCCCCCTGCTTACCCAGCTGTGACAGGCGGAAGAGCTCATCCTCGTTCTCGGTGGTGTGGTCCATGTTCAGCTGGGTCACCTGCAGCCCATCCACTGTAGACTTGCAGAGAAGTGCTCGGTTTGTACCTGCAGCAGAATTTCAGCAGCTGAGCAAAGACCAAGCGGAGAGGAAAGGGATCCACCGGTGAGACTGGGAGGGAGGGCAGGTACCTCACATATGGGATACACGAAAGCCACAGACCAGGCTGAGACCACTGGGCTAAGCCACCAGTGGGGAACAGCTGATGAGACTAAGGAATCAGGTTACCTATTTACAGTGCAATCACAGGATTATGAGTATAATAAAAGAAATCTTTCTCTAGAGATATATATTGAAATTTTTACAGATATTATACCACAAAGTCTGGTATAATGGAGCCAAAGAGCCATAGATACAAGAAGACTGGCCATAACTGGAAAACGATTAGTGCTGGGAAGGGACATGGCAGTTCACTGAACACCACTTATATCTGCTTTTCTGTATTTTGGGAATAGAAATGAAAGCGAAGGCAGGAGGAAGAGAGAGAGGGAGGTCATCAGAGGGGTCTCTACAGAGAACCTGCACACTACACAGCCCTCTCTGGCTCCCAGATTGGCCCTCTTTTGCCCACAAAACCAAATGTCCATGTCCCCAGCTTGCTACTGCTCATGGGGATAGAGTGACTCTTCCATGCCAGGTACCTCTTCCAAAAGCAGCAGCTACTGAGGTCACTTAGAGGTGGATGTGACTCACCCAAGGCCACAGCCAGTTAGGGCCAGAGTGGCAATTAAAACTGACACCTGTTTCTGTCCCATCTGTACCTCCAACTGGGATGATACAGGCCATGAAGTGAGGAAGAAACATGCCAAGTGATCTCAGGATGCTCTGGGTCTAAAGTGTCCAGGAAGCTGGGTGGGGTGGCACACACCTGTAATCCCAGCACTTGGGAGGCTGAGGCAGGAGGACTGCCATTAGTTCGAGGCCAGCCTGGGCTACATAGTAAATTAAGGCCAGCCTGAACTACATAGGCTGTCTCAAAAACAAACAAACATAATAAAATAAAATAAATGGTGAGGGGTCTGGAAAGCAGACTGCCGGTGAGCACACTGACATCAGGCTGACCTCCCTTCCTTCCTTGGCCACGGTGGGTGACTCACCGACATTGGCAACGTAGAGCTTGTTGTTGAGGAGGACCGCCACGACGGCCATGGCCCCTCCTGAGATCTCCCTCTCCAGCACCTTGAGTCTCTCCAGGATCTTCTGATACTGCGGAGGCAGCTGGTGCTGAGGGACACCCTGCAACCCACCAGGAGAGGTCAGGGCAGGGTGACCTGTGAGGACCACAGTGGCAACCCCCTTTCTCAGGAGCAAGGCTGTGAGGGCTGTGAGGGCTGTATGGCAGCCTGGCTATACCCCAGGAAAGCCAGTGATGACCTAACTCAGAGGACCCAGGAAGTGCTGGAGGGTGATGGGAGCAGGAAGGTGTCGAGGCTGTGACCAATTCACCCCATAGGACCTAGAAAGGCCTCTCCTCTCACCTGTCACTGCCAACCTAAAGCTGAGTCTTGGAGTGAAGCTGCCCACAGTGGCCAGGGAGGCCCCTCGCGGACAAACCTATTATTACCCGCCAGCTGTATCCTTAGCTCTTCCTGAGGGTAGATTACCTCCTGAGAGTGATTACCTCGGGCAGCTGGGACTGGAGGCTTGCTTTCTCAGCCAAGGCGTCATCAATGGACTCTAGGAAGCTCCTCTCCACCACATCAAAAGCCTGGAGCAACAGAGGGTAGGGCAAAGGCTGGCATAAACACCACTGTCACCAGATACTAAAACACCCACCGCCTCTTCCAGAACCACCGCCTCTTCCTGCCTGGCCCTGGACTCCCAGAGATGGGGAGCCACTGCCGCTGGATGAAGAAGCCAGCAGTCTTCAGACCAACCTTGGTCACATTTCATAGCTGCAGGGCTGAGCTCTGGGAGTAGAAGGACACACTGTCAGCCAGGTTGCGATCAGTGGCCCAAGCCCCTTACCTGTAGCAACACTCGCCGTACATCGGCCTCTGTGTGCTCGGCACTGAGCTGGCCCAGCAGGAGCTCCGCAGACAGCCGCTGGGCCACGAAGTTGGTCACCCGGTTGCCATCATAGCCATTGAAGACTCCATAGAGGAAACAATTGTTCTCACTCCTGGCAGAGGAGGCATAAAGAGGCCTGAGGCCAGGGCTCACAGATGAGGAGCCAGGGGAAGGAACTGAGGGAGACTAAAGATACAGGAGCTGTGGCTAAAGTGCCCATCTGGGTTCTCTCATTTTGGCTGAGATTCACTGTGGCTGTGACCTCCTAGGATGCCCTCCCTTACTTCAGGCCCTGGACTGAATTAGATGTGGCCACAGTACAGGCCACCTCTCATGGGCCACGTCTTCCTGGAAAGCCCCATATAACAGTGGCAAGGAAAGTGCCTTTCCTTGTGGGCAAACTGACTTCCTCAGCCCCGGATGGCAATGCTGGCATGCATACCTGAACTTGAGCCAGCTGTCCTCTGGAGGGTGGCTCTCGGTGCTCTTGCCATCAGCAGAGTAGCTGCGGTTGGAGGCTGAGCCAACCCCAGAGAGGTGGCAGAGGGGCAAGTCATCTGTCCAGCTCGGCTGCTGCTCCTGGGAAAGGACACCAGGAAACTGTGAGGCCCACCTTCTTCCCCAGGGCAGACCCACACTGCCTCCTTCTCCAGCAGAAACTTAGTAGGCCAACAGCCTCAGAGAGGCTTCCATTTCTTTCTGGAAAACAATGACACTTATATGAACAGACAGCTGCAGAAAGGCTTGCTGTTTTTATGATACCCAAGGAAACCCAAAAGAGGGCAGCATTCCTAAATGCAGGTCTCAGTGGCAGTTTTCAGGAGGGAGCTGTGTTATTACATGAGTCAAACTCTCAGAAATAAAACAAGCCCTGGCAGAAACTCTGTGTGGCCCTTTTGCTCCCCAAAGAGGCTGGCTGTACGATGCAAAGGGCACTGCTGACAACTGCAGGTTGCAGACTCCACTCTGAGAAGCCCGCTCTGATCCGGGCCAGCCCAGGATGTCTGCATTTTAAGCGGCTCCCTGCCTATGATTCTCACAGAGGTACCTGTGACCTGGCCTTTGGACTGACTGATAAGCTCTCTGTCACTCTCTCTGGCACTGTGTCCCTCTCTATCTCCCCTTGCCACACCCTTCTAAGCCAAGATCTCACCTTGAAGCTCTGGGCACACTCTGCTGTTTCCCTTCAAAGAACACCCGCTTCTTCTGGTTTAGCAATTCTGTGTTCTCTGAGACTCTCCGGCTCAGGAGTCACCACCTTGCATACTTACTGTCCCCTGGTACCACCATTCGGGCCTGTCCTCATTCTACCTCATGGAATCTGCAACCAGGCTGGTCAGCAGATCACTGCTGAGCTCTACACATAGCCAGCTGGCCAGGCCTGGCCCGGCCCAGGCACTGACCCTAAAGGTCCTCAGTCTCCTTGGGATGCACCTGAGGCCCCGAGGCCAGGCCCAGGTGTGATCTCTGTCCCTCACTGAAAGCCTCTCTGTACACCTGGTTTCCACCTGAGCACCTCATTCACAAAGGTAGAGGAACTGTGTGGAACCAGAGAAAACCAAAATAACTGGGAGAATCAAAGATCATTTTCAAGGAGATGATTAAAATCTGGATTGGAAACTATACTGAAACATTAAATAAAGACAACCACTGGGTGGAATTTCTTACAAATGACCTTCAAAAACCAATGTAAGAACCATACTAACCAACATCCCTCCCGCTCTGGTTTTTTGAGACAGGGTCTCACTATGTAGTTGAGACTGATCTGCAACTCACTGTGTGGCCCAGGCTGGTCTCGAACTCACAGTGATCCTCCTGCCTCAGCCTCCCAAGTGCTGGGATTACAAGCATGCCCACCACACCCAGCACACTAGCAGACTTTTACAATCAGATGCGTAGATAACCTGTGGCTAGCTTTTGTGGCTTATTTCATCTTCTGTTTATCTGCATACCAACAGGGAGTCACTTTATGGACTTTTCCCATTTTAACTGCTTGTATGTTGCATTTATCTATTTTAGCACTCTTAAATTTTGTTCTTAGCACCACAGAGCAACTTCTGCAGGATGTGAGAGTCTGTTTTATTTTCAAATTAACAAGTAAATTTTAAAATTCTCTACACTGTTCCTGGTGTCCAATCCTGACTCCTAACACATGTAGAGGTCTCTGTAACTACTGCTCACTGAGGACACAGGGGGCCCCACCACCCCAGAACACTCGCTTGTGATACTTCTCTGGAGTTGCCCCCTACCCTAACTCCTGGCAACTGCGGGCCTGGCCTCTATTCCTATGGTTTTGTCTTTTCAAGAAGGGCATGCAAATGAAACTAGGCAGTATACAACCTTTAGAGGCTGGCTTCTCTGACTCAGCACCATGCCCTTGAGTTGCTTGCCAACACCAATATCTTGTTTCTCTTTATTGCAGAGCAGTGCCCCTCTCGCCTCCGTGGATGCAGCAGTCTGTTTATCTATTCATCCATGGAAGGACACTTGAGACTATTTCCGGCTTCCAGTAATTATTAAGAGAGCTGCTATAGCATTTTTTTTGACTGAATGGCACTTTCATTTCTCTAGGGTACATACTTAGAAGTGAGACTGCTGCCTCATACTGTAAATGTATGTTTATAAGAAACTGGGAACTGTTTTCCAGGATGGAAGGACCACCTACCTGCATTCTGACCAGCACTGCATGAGAGCTACAGTTGCTTGCATCCTTGCCACCATGTAGTACTAGTTTTTTGTTTTATTTTGTTTTGGTACCAGGGATCAAACTCAGGTCCTTGAACTTGCGAGGCAGGTGGCAGAACCACTGAGCTAAATCCCAGGCCTTACTGTCTGTTTTTTAATTCAGACATTCTAAGCAGCTATAGTAACTCATGACTTTAATTTGCACTTTCCCAACAGCTAATGATGGTGACTGACTTTTCAACACATCCTCTTCATCAAATGTCTAAATCTTACGCCCTCTTTCTAGTTGGGTTGTCTTAACTCTTGGGTTGAGAGTTGTTTACATATTTTGGATAAGAGTTCTTTTTCAAGTATGTGATTTGTAACTATTTTTCCAAGCTGGGGATTTAGTTCAGTGGGTGCCGCTGCCTACCTCACAAGGGCAAGGTCCCAAGTTCAATCCCCAGTACCAAAAAAAAAAAAAAAAAAACCAACCAAACTGCTGTGTTACTTTAACCTAGATGGATTATGTAAAGGAACAAATTTCCAATGATGAATGTCATTATATTGTATACCTAAAATGTACCAATAAAATTAATTTTTAAAAAGTTTTCCAAAACTGTAGCTTATTGCTTCATCCCCTTTGCCAAGCATTGCCGCACATGTTTGTAAGCCCAGCACTCAGGAGGCTGGGGCAGAATCCTGAATTTGAGGCCTGCCTGGCCATAGCAAGACCATCTCAAGACCATCTGTGGGGAGGGTGATTTCACTCACTTCAGGGTCTTATGTAGAGCAAACTTTTTAGTTTTGATGACATCTATTTTGTCCATTTTTACCTCACATTGCTCATAACTGTGGAGTCATGTCTAAGAGCTCTGCACAGCCTCCTGTCACAAAGACCTTCAGTTTTCTTTTGTAAATTGTATACATAGCTTCACATTTTAAATTTAGATCTGTAAAGATAGAAGAGTTAGGTCAATTTTCTCTTACCTATAGACTGTTCCAATTGTTCCAACATTATCTGTTTTTTTGGGTTTTTTTGTACCAGGGATCAAACTCTGGATCTTGTGCTTGGGGAGCAGGCAGCGGAACCACTGAGCTAAATCCCTGGCCCCCAACATTATCTGTTAAAAAGATTAGCTTTTTTCCATTGAATTGTTACTGTACCTTTGTAAAAATTAACTGGGTATGTTGTGGGCGATTCTACCCTTACTCTATCCTGTTCTACTCATGTATTTGTCTATTTTCCCACCAAAACCAAACTTTACTACTTTAGCTTATTACTGTAGCTTTACAGAAGTCTTAAATCAGCTAGTGTGATTCTCATAACTGTATAACTGTAGCTTTATAGTAAGTCTTAAAATCAGCTAGTGTGATTTTTGTAACTTTATAATTTTCTAACTCTTAACAACTTTTCAAAATTGTTTTGGCTATTTCTGTTCATCTTTCCATATAAATTTTAGAATCAGTTTGTCTATAGCTGCAAAACAAGTCTGTTGGGATTTTGATTGAGACTGTTGTTTCCTTTTTATTAGTGCACGTTAATTAGAATAATGGGTTTCACTGTAACAGTTTCATACATGCAGATAACATTTTTAGCATTTCTTCCTCTCCCTTACCCTTTCCTCTCTCTCTCTCTTTTTTTTTTTTTTTGAGACAGGGTCTCACTATGTAGTTGAGACTGACCTGGAACTCACTATGTAGCCCAGGCTGTTCTGGAATTCACAGTGATCCTCCTGCCTCAGCCTCCCAAGTGCTGGGATTACAGGCACCAGCCACCACGCCCAGCTACTCTTTTTTTTTTAAAATAAGTTTCCTTTCTATTTTTGTGTCATCATTTTCTCCTAGATTTCACATATGGCAGAAAGCATACAATACTTGTCTTCTTGAGTCAGACTTATTTAGCACGATAATCTCCAGTCCTATCCATTTCCCTGAAAATAACATGACTTCATCTCCTTTACAGCTGAATAATACTCTATTATCAGCTGGGCATTGTGATGCATGCCTGTAATCCCAGCACTGGGGAGGCTGAGGCAGGAGGATCACTGTGAGTTCCAGAACAGCCTGGGCTACATAGTGAGTTGCAGGTCAGTCTCAACTACATAGTGAGACCCTGTCTCAAAAAACAAACAAACAAACAAACAAACAAATACTCTAATCTATATACACTACATTTTCTTTACCTACCTAGGCTGATTTCACAACTTGTCTATTGTGAATAGCACCT